TAAACAGTTTGGAGCAACAGTTGCAGGCAGCTGGGAGCGCGTCACACTGACATTAGCAGCACAGCTGTTTTATCACTGTGGCCTGTGCATGAGAACCAGGGTTCAGATTTGACACAGTGAGCTTGCTTTGTTCCAGACCAAGACAATGCACGTGATTGCTAGACTCTTAGATTACCAGCGAGCCAATAACTTATTTGTTCTCACAGATTGCATTGTATTTACAAAACTAACCAAAAAGGGAAGGGTTTACCTTTTCATATGTTATTCATAACCTTAATTCCTGTCAGGACGTGCAGGAAAAGCTTTGATTGTTTGCATCGTAGTGTGCTGCTCTTAACTTGAGTCAGATTGTTTTGCTTCACTAAAGAGGCCTGTAATTGTGGTAAGTAAGACAAGGGGATGTTATTCCCATAGCATACTAGTTATTCTAGTGCATTGTTATAAACCAGTCTGCATGAGGGTCATCATACTGCTGGAAGGTGTAACAGGTTTTCTCTCTGGATTGTCCCAAATGTAATTCCATTTATCCTCACTTCCACTTCTGCTAGCTTTCCTGCAGTGCTGAAAAACAAAGTGTCATTTTTTCTGCAAACTACGAACTGGATGACCCTTATTTTTCTCTCAAAATTTAGCTTACTTCCTGCTACCACTTTTCTGGATTGCAATGTGTGTCTATTTTTCTCCATCTAAACTGTCTAGCTTTTGCAATAACTTAACTGTTCCCAGGACTATAATGTCCCCCTGTCTGTGCATTGAATGGTCACCAGGCAGTGATGATGTTTAGTAAGTCAGTAGATGCACCAAAAGTTAAAAACTGTGCTACATAGAAAGTAACAAAATCAGGTTTTTGAAAAAAGCTAAGAAAAAAAAGGAGAAAAATGAAAAACAAAAAGCCTGGGATTTTCTAACTGTTTTTCTCCAAGGGAGGTGGGTAGACTAAATTCAAATCATTTCAGTTTGTTTATTTAGCACCAATTCACAACACGTCACCTCAAGGTACTTTACAGTTCTCCAGATCATACAGACAAATTGATTCAAAGTTTTCTATCTAAGGAAAACCAGTTGCATCGACTCATTGACTCGAATGCAATCCCTCACACTAATCATGCTTGTAGCAACAGTGGAGAGGAAACACTCCCTTTTAACAGGAAGAAACCTCCAGCAGAACCAGGCTCAGTGTGAGAGGCCATCTGCCGAGGCTGACTGGCCTTCAAGGAGACAGAAGTAAAGATACAGTAGGTTTCAACCTGCAGGCTTAAAGGAATAGTACACCCAAAACATGATTAGCCTTCATTTTCTACTCACCCCCATGCTGAACAACACTCTGGAGTACTTTTTTGATATCTCAAATGCATCTGGAGATCTGGGAGGCTTCTTGCTGTCTGCTGACATTCAAATAATGGAGGTCTATGGCGCCCGAGGCAGAAAGGTCCATAAAAGTCCACAAAAACGTGTCAATATTCCTCCATACTGCTCGTCCAATGTATTCCAATTGTCCTGAGTGGGTAGCATTCAGAATTTACTCGAAACGAAGTCATTTAGAATGTTTTTAGAGCATAAACAGTAGTGTATAGGATTTCCTGAAAGCGCGCACCTGCGCGTTCACGACGCTACGGAAGCCGGCAGACCAAACCAGATGAAAGTGCGCATTCAGCGTCTGCTCTGCCAATAATGCAAGCGTAGAAGAAGAAATGTGCTGTTTACCTGTGCAAAGAAAGAAACAACGAAAGAAAAATGTCTGAGGACTTCAGTGTTGAGGAAGAGCATGAGTTCTTTGCCGAGCTGAATGCGCACTTTCATCTGGTTTGGTCTGCCGCGGTTTCCGTAGCGTCGTGAACGCGCTTTCAGGAAATCCTATACACTACTGTTTATGCTCTAAAAACATTCTTTTCGAGTAAATTCTGGATGCTACCCACTCAGGACACTTGGAATACATTGGACGAGCAGTATGGAGGAATATTGACATGTTTTTGTGTACTTTTATGGACCTTTCTGCCTCGGGCGCTGGGCACCTCCATTATTTGAATGTCAGCAGACAGCAAGAAGCCTCCCAGATCTCCAGATGCATTTGAGATATCAAAAAAGTACTCCAGAGTGTTGTTCAGCATGGGGGTGAGTAGAAAATGAAGGCTAATCATGTTTTGGGTGTACTATTCCTTTAAGGGCAGATCATACTTCTGCAACCGCACACATCAAATGTTGCTTTGGTCTGGTCGCGAACCAGTTTTGCTGGTATGCTTCTGCACCGTTGATATGGAATTTCTGAGGACGCACAGCAGTTTCACACCAAAGCACAAGGGAGAGCCTATTCGAAAACTAGCAAGAACTTCGACGGATTGTACTTCTGAACCTCCTCGATTAACCTTTCATCATAGTTGTCCATTGTAGTTGCTCCTAGGTTTTTTAAAAATGGCGTGCTGGCGCGCCATTTTTAAAAAACCAAGAAGGACGACCACACGGACAGCCGGCAAGGCATACCAAGGACCAATCACAGCTGCTTTTTGTCTGCGCACTTCCTCATGAGGTGTGGCGGGTTTGCGATCGCCAACGCGTAGTCAAGATTTTTTTGAGGTGCACAAGGGCGGTTGCAGAACCTCTGCGCGGGGGGCGTGGTCATGCACGGAAACAGATTTGACGGTTGCAGAGGGTATGCGTCAGAAGCATAAATTGGCCTTTATTGCCCACAGTGAAATATGAGAGCTAGCTCAGCTACAGACTAGCATTAGCCTACATTTAACTAACATTTAATCAGTGAAGGGGATGTTTCGCAATATATTTATATATTTAGCTTGCTTTTTCCCCTTTTACTACAACTAACATCAGATGAGTGAGAGTCAGCAGAAGCCCTGACTCCCCATATCACCATAACTCCTCCTCCCTGCCTGGGTGAAGGTGACCAAATTAGTCTGCAATGACAGCACATTTAACATTCAGCATGGTTGGTTGGTTTCTGTATTCAGACTTTTGCACTAGCATTAGTAGGATTGTGCTATTACTGGTATTGAACTAGAAGGATATGAGGTTGTTTTAATTGTTTAAAGTTAGTCTACCAATTTTTTCTATAAGTCATTTAAATCTCAGTGATGTGGTAACAGTGGCTGTTCAGGGGTTGGGGGGTGGATGGTTTATTTTGTTTCATTGGGCCCCACAATCCCTGGCATCACCCCTGTTCTGTTGAACTACCAAATGTTGATTTCAGTTGTGGCAAATTTTTTCCTTGTTCACATAAGGAGTGGAAAATGCTTTGTAAGATGGCTAAAACTTATTTTATTTACTAAGTCTGGGTTACATTTCACAACTTTATCCTAAGCACATTGCTATTGTTCCAATTTATGATCAATAAAAAAAAGAATAAAAAAACTTTTGACAGACCTGGCCAGTATGGTTATAATGACTTAGTTAGAATTTTGTTTAAGGGTATCTGAGTTAAAAAGAAATAACACCATTCTAAGCTAACTTTCTTAAAATTAAATGTATTAAATAGTTGTCTTTGGTTAAAGTGAAACAAATTGCAAACATGTGTAAATAATAAAAATACTTTTGCTTTGACTTCTTATAAGATTCTTTAATCTTATCTAAGCAGGGTTAACTGCAGCATTTTCATTCAGAGTTACTCTCAGAAAAATAATCTTTTTGTGGAATTCTCTTCTCCCTAGTTTCACATTCATTTTTTAGGTATACTCCTATACGGAAACGATTCTTCATCTTTCTTGGTTGATTTACTTATGTGGCGGTGTGCAGGGGTAAAGGAAATGTGAGGTTTAAAAGTGTATGAGCACAGAGAGAAAAGAGAGAAATGTAGTGTTGTGGTGAGAGAAGAGGAAAGCAGCAATATCAGAGATGAAAGGGGTGCAACAGAGAGTATAAAGGGAGCTGAGGCAGTCAGTCTGAGGCCTGCTGTGTCAGAGGTGCACTCAACTTCCTGCAATTAATATCCTCTGCTCACAACGGTTTCACTTTCACTTTTTCGACAGTTTTCAATCATATTAAATACATTTAAATATATATTAAAAGTAAGTCCATGATGTATTGACATGGCTTAACCCAGTATTTGATTCTTTGCTGTAAAACCTTAACGTCAGATATGAGGATTTTCCTGTCAGAGCTAATGAAAACACCAATAAAAAAATATTTATAATACAAAAATAAAGTTTCTTTTTTAAAGTATGATTGATAATTACTTAGTTTTCTTTCAGAAATGAGACTTAGTCTCTTTGGAATCCATTTTCTTACCTAGATCCTGATGGTGTGCTGTGGTCCATGTAGTTTGATTTCATGAATATACACAACTTGTGTTTATCATCAGATTGGACAAAATACTGGGTGGAGGATATGCAAATGTAATAATATTCAATAATATTCAGATAGTTTGCAATAATTCCCTTTAAAAAAAATACGATGATTTATGTAGCAAACTGAGGCTCTGGTAAGTATAAATGTGCTCTTTTTTCAAGGTATTTTTGTGTGTTAAATAAGTGGTAAATGAGTTGATAAGTGGTAAAAATCCATTGTTATATTATGAAAGAAATAGTTTCTCTGTATATGATCCATGTAGGGATCATACCAGAACTTGCAAGTGCTGCCGCTCATTGTAGCTGCCTTTGGGATGCACAAAATAAATCCTCTCTACAGCCTTTGTGTGTGAAACAGAGATTGAGGTAGTGCTTAAAAAGGATGATGGACAAAGTACAGAAGAAAATTGCACTGTATTGTCATAAAATCAGCTTAGACACTGAAAAAGAAGTTCAGAAGATGATTAACAGTTTATAAGAGCAAGCATAAATATGCAAGTATTGTGTGCAGGCGATGTGATGTATGTTATGAGAAAATGAAGTGATTAAGACCCCTTAGATTGTACTTAAAAGCATAGAATATACTAAAATGGGTTGTCTTACCTGACAATCAACAGAAGAGTGCCATTAAAGTTTGCAAGCTTTTATTAAGTGGGAATGAGTGATGTCATTTTTATTCAAAACAGACTTTTTTTCTCATTTTGGCAGGTTTAATGTGTGATGAGCAAGCAGATGGGAAGAGAAAAGGTCGACCCAAAACCGAAGGTCAAGAGCTTCGGAGCATTCCTGTGAGTGTCTCTTTTCAACATGACTTGGTGCTTCATCTGGGGTCTCATTTATATAACATTGCGTAGTTTGCATACTAAAAAAACTCAAAAATGGCACTCGCCAAAAATAAAAAATAAAATTGTTATATATAAACGGTCCATGCAAAGCTCAAAGGAAAAACCGTTGTCTATTTAAATTAGTTAGCTGATCAAAGTCATTTAATGGCACTGAAGTGAGTGAAAAAGCTCAGACAGAGATAGCTATGTTAGTGAGTGAGATGAGAGTCATTAGAGGTGTGACAAATTAAGGAAGTAGATGCTTTTGAACCTTTTTTTATGCGCAGGAGTGCCAGTATGTCAGACTGAGGTACCAAATCAGATTTAATCGATATACAATCAATATTTGATATGAAGGGAAATTAAATGTCTGAGAATTATCAGTAACTATCATGTTCCCAATTTCCCGTCTCCAAAATCTGCATACCGGTACAGATGGGTCAGAGTTGGGGTCAGGGTTGCTCTTTTTTACTAATTTGTTGTTTGTAGATCACAACATTTGTGTGGAAGTCTGCGTACGTGTTTATCATTGAGGGCCAATGGGTATCATTGAGGGCCATAGACCAGCTCTATGGAAAATAACTTTTTTATTCTGATTATCTTTTCATTATTTCTGAGTAGGCCCATTTGGTGATACAATGGAAGGAAGAGTTCAAGCGCCGCGCCAGGGTTAAATGTCCATGTTCAGGCTGTTGGTTAGAATTTCCCAGCATTTATGGCGTCAAGTACCACTATCAACGTTGCCAAGCGGTGAGTCACTTAGCTCTGATTTCCTGCTATTATTTCTGCTTATATTCTTTTGAATAGCCTTTATAGATTCAAGAAACTCATCAGATTCCTAATTGAACCCTGAAATTTAGAATTTACAATTTAGGATTTAAACTGTATATTAGCCACCTAAAAGCTTTACATAATAGGCATCTGCTGATGTTGGATATTGTGCAGAGGGAGAGCTTATCCTTGATCCCCTCTTATCATATCTTTATTCAGGCCTCTGTAGCTGAGAAGCTGAGTCATGGCTGTCCCTACTGTGAGGCAGCTTTTGCCACAAAAGTGCGGCTTGAGAAGCACAAGCTGTGGAACCATCCAGACAGAGTTAGCAAGGAAGCCAAGGAGGAGCAGCTTCTTAAAATTCCTGTTAAGTCCAACGTAAAGAAAAGGTGACTGAAAGTTCAAATTCCATCCCATAGTCACCAGGCAGACATTGTTAAAGATGTTTTAATACCCAGATCTGTCCTCTCTGTCTGTGAACTCAGACCAATGGAGAACAGTCATCCCTCACCGATGTTCTTCAAGGTGAAAAAGACTTATGAGGTGTCCACACCGTCCCAGAATGGAGAACTGGCCCACCTGAAGAGCGAAAGGAAAGTGCACGCTCAGATCCCGGCTTCGCAGAAAATACACCAGTCACAGACAGATCAGCCACAGTCTCAGAGCACATCATCTGACGCAGGAGGGAGTGAAAGTGAAGGAGGAAGCATTCCCTCTTCTTACCCCGATGAAGATCCTGAGCGAATGAGGCACAGTAAGGCACCGGCAAAACATTTGTCATGTACTCGATATTTCTTTTTTAGTGATATTATGACTGTTCTTTTTTGATTGTTTTTCTTTACTACATCCATATTTCAATGATTTAGGACGAAAGCAGAAAACTCCTAAAAAATTCACAGGAGAACAGCCGTCGATATCCGGGACATTCGGGCTTAAAGGTAAGTCTAGATCATCAATGGAAATTTAAGCTTTTCCCCTACGTTTTAAACATCATGTCTCTGCGATTTTAGAGTTGATAAACAGCCTGTCTGTAAAGAAAGAATTAGCAATGATTACAGCAGACCTCTAGAATATATTGATGTTTTATTTAATCATACAATTCTAAGGATAGCTAATATAGCACTGTGTCCCTGCGGAGTTGCTTTCTAGCCCTATTCAAGGGAAATGCATCTGGTTGTATGATGGGTTGTGTCATTGTGAATGCTCCCTATTGCTACTGATCAATGGAGCTAGTCTTTTAACTGCGTTAATGTGGCAACTGCTGCGATGCTTCATTTCTGGCTAAATGAAACAGTGAGTCACATATACAGCTTTACCAACCTCCTTCTGTCTCTGTCTCATTGATATGCTGGAAATATTCACTGACTCATGTGGCATATTCAGGCTGCAAAGCACTTCACACCACATGTCAAGCAATTCATCTGCCATTTTTCAAGTCTGTTTGCTCTGTTTTACACTTCCTCTAATGAATGTATATGGATCGCCTTACAGAAGTATAACCTTTGAAATATATTGCAGTATGCCTAAATATAACTGCTCACTTTAGTGCAATTTATGGGTATTTTGTGCAACTGACAAAAGCAAATTTAAAAATCATTTTACATTGCATACGTTGATGAACTTCTTAGAAGAAAATGGGGTGTACTTGTATTCAAGGCCCTTTAACCTGATATGACTGAATAAAATCCAACCCAACAAATGGTTCGGTTAGTTTTTAATGGTCCACAGAACAAAGACCACAAAAGACAGTTGAGAGGTCAGAGAATAGGTTATTGGCAAATACAGAGCAGATCTTGAAAGAAGGCGTAAAGCGATTTGTGCATGCAATTCATTAGGCACCTCGTGCAAAGCTATTTTCTTTTGTGCGTGCCTTAAATCAGTATTCAGATCATATTCTAATGACCAAACCCACAACTTTTTAGGTGCATGATATGCAAATTAAGATATTACCACCTGTAAAGACATTTTTTAAATCTAAAACATAACTGCGGCTGTAGTTTTTGTGGCTTTATTAGTGTTTCTGAAAGCCAGATGAAAGCTCAAAAGCAAAAAATGTTAGCGGTCAAAAGCGTGCATCTCTTACTTGTGGCAAGATAAATTTTACCTCTCTAGATGTTCTATAATAGGCTCCAAAAAAGTATAGATGTTTAATTAAGTTCTTATGGCCTGCTTTGTTTTGGAATGTATTGGAAGAAGCGACCATTGAGAGAAAGGTTTGTGGAAGCAAATCCAGCTTAGAGTGTAAACTGCTGTAAATCTGACTGGATCCATGTATTGTCAGAGAGGGGTTAAGGGGTTAATCAACAAACAAAGAAGAATTTTGCCCATGCACTTTGCTTCCTATTTGGTATCTTTGAAGGTCAGGCCTAATGTGTAAACTAGCAATACACCTCACCTATAACACAGCATCACCCTAATGGAACATGACAGTGGTTGGATCATGCTTTGGATGGTGCTTTCCTTCGGCAAGAATAGGAAAGCTTCTGAGAGTTAAAGCAGTCCTAGATAACGTGTTCCCAAACGAGCAGGATAATATTAAATATAAAATCAGTTTAACATAAGAGGTAGTCTACAGCTTATTCATGCATTCAAATGTCCCAGTTATAATGTAGACATAAATATAATGGAAAATCTGTTGCAAGTTTTGCAAAGTGAATCGAAAACAGCAATTTATATTTACAGTGGTAAATATTAACTTTCAGTCCTTTGTTTCTTACTAAGAAACATGCATAATCCTCTCTTTTCGATGAGATTCTCTCTCCTTGTCTAATGGTCAAAATAATTTCATTCATAGATATATTTTCTGTGTTTGCCCTTCAGGTATGACTAAGGTAGAGGAGAAGCTGAAGGCGGGTCGTGTTAAGAGACCAGAGGGCTGTGGGTTCAGTGATGAGCATCAAAGAAGACCCGTATCTGCTCAGTCCTCCAAAAAGGAGCCAGCAACAGCAAGTTCAGGTGAGAACCTCGATCACATCCGTTAATTAAATGTGACGCCGCATAAAAAATGTAGTAACAAGTCGACAGAGCCGAAACCTGTAAAATCAGCAAAAACCGTCAAATTCCTCAAAAAAAGAGTGGTTTTCATCCATCCATTATCCATTATCATCCATGACACGCTTGTCCCAATTGGGGTCGCGAGGGGTGCTGGTGCCTATTTCCAGCTGTCAATGAGTGAGAGGCGGGGTACACCCTGGACAGGTCGCCAGTCCATCGCAGAAGAGTGCTTTTCATTTTATTCCAAAATGTGAAAGTTGAAAGTACAGAAGCAGAGTTAAATAAATAGAGTTAGTTAAATAGAGTTCTAATTCTAATAATGCTATGTTTAATAACTGTATTTTTTTATAGTATTTTGTAAATTTACCTTTGCTATACAGTCTCTTTTTGTTATTCTGTTTTTAAAAAGTGTACCATGAAAATCTGCGTGCTTCAGTCTGTTTGCTATACCTGAATTTTTCCAACAGAAACAGTAACATAGAATATATTTCCAATCTAGTCTATTGATTCTAAAATGGGTATTAAATATGATTTGCTTCCAACTGATTTTGTCAAATTACAACCCTGTTTGAGTTTTCAAAATCCCAGCATCTTTTAACAGATATTAGATTTTTTATGGAATTGGGCAACAACAAACATTTCTGGCAGTTTAGTAGATGGTTTAAGCTCCTAAAATATTTGTTAATTTGCATGTTTTCTCTAACTGCTCCATCCTCCCCTGGATGAAGAGGTGGCTAGGAGAGACCCAAACCAATATTATATAAGAAGCGAGTAACATGCAAAAAAGGTCTGTAGTCCATCACAGGGCTACTTTAAAAAAATCCTGTGGCTAAGAGGCCTGTCATTACCTATGTGTGTGGGTTTGCTCTCACTTTAAAATTTAATTCATTCCTCCTGCTTATCTAGTGCATGCTCCTTTGGTGGGTTCAGTCTGTTTCTGGGGGAATTTTTTTATCAGGTCTGATGGATCAATTCAATTACTAAACAGAACATAGCTTTACATTCAAATGTCCCTAATCCATAATATTTGATCTGCCTCTAACAAAGTCTCACTGTAAGCGGTTTTGTTGCTTAGGTGGTGTTTCTGACACTCAGTGGCAGCGAACAATCTCAGAGCGAGGGGAAGTGGTATGTCCCACCTGCTCCATTGTCACCAGGAAAACAATCCAAGGCCTGAAGAAACACATGGAGATCTGCCAGAAGGTAAACCAGCTGTGTATCTGTCTACCACATGGGGAATAAAAAACAAACAATAAATTCTTGCATTTTCTGGGACTAAAGGGAATAGATAGAGAGTTTTTACTGCGAGACAAAAAAAAGCTTTCTTCTAGCCTAAAGTTTTTTTAAGACATTGAAAAATATGTACCACCTCATCTCTCCCTCGCAGTATAAAGCAAAAAATAGCTCAGTCAGTTAGCTGGCTGAAAGAAGCTTGTTGTTCGCTCACAAGAAAATCAATTTCAGCTGTTTGGAAAATATGTTAGGGTGAGAGATACACAGGCAGAAAAGGTGTGCAAAGAAAAATAGTGCCACCCATCTGTTATATTAAGGCAGTTTGATTAATCATAGGATCAACAGTACCACCTGTTACACTTTCTTTGTGTTATAATCCTGTTTTTTTTAAACTTTTTATATTGTGAGCAAAATTAAACCAAGTCAGTTTCCTTGTTTGTTCACACAAGATTGGCCATAAAAAAATATTCTGATTGAAAGGACTAAAGATATAGAAATGTGAGGAACTAAAGCTCTTTTATTAGATGGAATATGGTATGACATCATCATCTCTATGTGCTTTTCTGGTCGCATGTGTATTTACATCCATGTGAGTAGCTGGTCCTCCGTGCTCAGAGAGAGCAGCGTAGTTTTGGAGCCATATGGTGGAAAAACGCATCCAGGGATTCGAAACATTTATCTAAACAAATTAAGTTATTTTGCTTAATTCAGCATTATAAAGTTATGAGTTATTTCTTCTCTAAATATGTTCCTCTTAAAAGTGATTCTGTTTTGCTGTTTGTTTATTCTATGCAAGAGAAAACTTTGTCACACATCTTGTTTTGGTCTACCGTCAGTGCTCAACAGCCCACCTAGCGGTGAAATTTACCTGTTGCTCCTTTGAAAGTCTACATTGTAAAAATGACCTGTTAATAACATCATGTTCTTCTTTGCACTGGGTCTTTATATTAACAGAGTTATAGAGAAACGCCAACAGTGGATCTGTCTTAAAATATGTGGCAGGCACTCCAAATCTGCAATCCTCTAAAGAATTTTTAACACGTGTGGAGACATTGCCAAATAGAATGATTTTTACTTTTATATCCATTTCGTTTAATGTTTTGATAAACCAAATGTTCCAGAATTTTAACTTTTATTCCACTTTATTAAGATTCCACCTGTTCACAGCCTGTGCATTTTTACAGTGATGACTGTATACAGTCTAGATGGTTAAAAAAAACAAAAACACAATATTTATAGCTGGTAACGTAATTATTATGTTCTCCGTATTTTTATTTATGTTTTTATTTTTTTTAAACCCTAATCAGGTGATTAAACACACACACTGGTATATATACAATGTTTTCTTTCCGTAGCACTTTACTCTTGTGAACCGTAATAAATTAAATAAGTTTAAACAGCTAGTATAGCCAAATTTGCTTTTCTAATGAGCAAATTTTAGTTTCTGTTCCTACAGTCATTGTAATAGCTCAGTGGGTGCCTAACCTTGTTAAAGTAGCAAACAATAGACTCCTCACATTAGCAATGGATCACTCACCCTCATAGCGTTTCCATGTATAAATCAATACTGATGTACTTCTCTGTTTGCACCTTAATGTCTGCAGCTCCAGGATGCCCTAAAATGCCAGCAGTGCCAGAAACAGTTCCGCTCCAAGGCTGGCCTCAACTACCACTACATGGCTGAACACAGCACCAAGGTACACTTGCACATGTCTTTTTTGAAGGATGTTTTGAACCCACATCTATATTTTTTTAAGGGAAATGTTTTGAATGTTTCGGAGCTACTGTATTATATACCAGTGAAAAGGATAGTGTATATCCATACCACGATAAAAGAAGCTATTACTTTTGTCTTTGTCCATGCCCCCATTAAGAAATACCTTATATTTTTACATCTGTCTGTTCAGTAAAATAAATCTATTTTTTATTCCTTACAATATGATAGTCTTTTGCAGGCTATCATAAACTAGATGATGTTTTTTCTCTGTTTTCATGCTCGATTTTCTTTCTGGAGCTTTCTTAAGCCTGATATCAGAGAGCTTCATTAAGATACTATCATCAATGCTGCTGCATTAGAGCAATGGCACTGCAATAATGTTTGTTAAATAATTCAGAGCTGCTTATTTGTAAAGGTATCATCAAAAATTAACGACTCTACAGGCAGTAAACCTTGAAGCTTGTTGCATGTAGATTGGTAGTAAAGACATAGGCTGAAAGGAGTCATGTCCATGTATACAGTACATGTATATTTATGAAGCATTTCAGGCTCGGCGGTGTTGTACTAATGATCGGTCAGTACCAGAAAAGTCCAACTGTGTAATGCAACAATTTATTTTCAAATTACATGTGTAACCAGACATCAAATAGTTTTATCTTCACCTGGTTTAAATTCTGTATAAAATCTTATATAAGGTTTCCATCTGATTATTAATTTATTTGCTATAAAAGCAATCACAGTTTAATTTATAAGCAAAACAATCACCTGTTACAGCCCTAGTCTTATCAGTCTTTCAGACCTTACCTTGCGGTCCAATTCTACTTTTAAGTGAACCAATTATTTTTATTGCCATAATCACGTCTAACATCAATGTAAATTTTTTTTATTAATAACTGATTAATTAATGTATTTCTTCTCTAGGTTTTTGTTAGTTCATAGCAGCCACATTCTACTGCTGCTATAGTTTGATCTTCATCTGGTCTGTAGTTTGCCCCTTTGATCTCTTGTGTTTTAAGTGTGTGTATGTGGACCAGCCTTACTGCATTATGCAGGTGAAACAAGATATTTACATACACTGCATGGCAGGATGGGAAAAGGTCACTAGTCCATCGCAGGGCAATGCAGACCCACACAAGACAGACAAATATTGCTTGTCTCTCCCTGTTGTTCCTGCACTTATTTTTCTCTTTATATGCTCGAAAAATTAATTATACATGTGGATGTAGGGTCATGATTTTCTACCCTATCAATGTAAATCTCTGAATCAGCCTGCTGGTTGCTGTTACTATTGGTATAAAAGGACATTTTACCTTCAGCTTTTAGCTGCTGCAGAGTTGCATGCCATCGTTCTCTGAGTGCATTAGCATATGAGTAAACTCATGAAGTTTACCCTCCTGGGATTCCTCAGCGGGTCCAGACTCTTTCAGGTTCCCTGCACATCTTTTTCCTTCCTGGCAGCCTTACCAGCTGTTGTTCTGGTCTCGGCTGTGTTTGGAACCAAGCGATATTCGAGTGAAAGCATGCGCCTGACAGTCGTCATCAACACACCTCAGGAAACAGTCTCACTGTGAAATCTTCTAATGATCCTGCCACACGGCGGACGGATGAGATGAAAACATGTTGTCTTCTACGATTTTATTATGGTGTGAGGAAATGTGTGTTGCTGTGGTGGGACATGCTAACCTGACGATGTGTTTGTTCCCCCTCAGCCCTCAGGGAGCGAAGGCCAGACGGTCAACGAGCATGAAGAGAGGGAACGGCTGCGGCGGATGCTCAAACAAATGGGACGAATCAAGTGTCCTAGTGAGGTATTCTCTATTTCTTGTTCTGGTCTTTTCTTTGTCTGGTCTTGTATCATTCACTGTGTCATTAGTCTAGTTATCATTCATATTTTTCCATCAATATTGCCATTTTAGTTGCCTTAATCCTCCCTCCGTATTTTTTCATTTTGGAATTACTGTCTTTTTCTCATCCTCCTCAAACCTGTCGCTGTCATTTAACATGGTTCCTAAATCAATTCAATAATTCTTTTTTTGCATATTTGAGAAATAATGTAAAAAGAAAATAAAGATATATGTATGTTAAATGTAGCAATTTCTTAATTTATATTACAGAACACCCAAAATGCAGTAGTGTTTTAAAATTAGAGTTGAAAAATTAGAAAAATGTGTTCGGTATTTGTATATAGACCCCGTTATTCTGACATCCTATCATAAAATCTTGGTTGTTGTTTCATCATAGTGTGGGGATAGTTTGATTTATCACAGTCCGAGTTCAATGGAAGGAAACCATTTGAGGTGAATATTCACCATCCATCAGTATAACAGCATTAAAACTACAGCTAGCACAACAAAGGAACAGTTTTAGACAGAAGATTCAATTATTAAGAGCAGACAGGTTTAAATTTAGCCATAATTATGTTTTAGAATAGCCTAAATCCAGTTAAGATGTGCGGCAAAACATGCAGTCTGCTGTTCAGAGACGCCGTCTATGAGCAAAGATTTTCTAAAGTTGTTAGAGGCAGACCCCTTCTGCAAGGTAATGATTCATGTAAACTGAATACAAAATAGAGATTAAGCCTTTTATCTTTTTATTGTTAAAACAAGAAACCATGCACTGCATCACCCTAACCCAGCCTCCTCTATACAACTAATGATATTTTGTAAATTTGTCGATATATCAAATAAAATCTTAATAAATCACAATAAAGATAGTGATTAAAACATGATGTGAATCCAGGGGCTATAGATGATTTTGCAAGGCACCTTCTATCCATGCCGAGTTATACAGATATCTCTATACGGATATCTGCCATTGTATGAAGCCTGGAGAAGTATTGAGTTTTGATATGAAGAAGGTTAAGGAACAAGTAATTCAGCTTCATCTACTTTTTTGTCACGTTTCCACTCATCACTTTCTTCCTTTAGTCATTCAAAGCTCCAAATATGTTGTTGAATAAAAGAAGATTCTGTAAAATGTATTTTCTGCTGTAACATGTTTGCACACATAAAAACGAACACCTTTCTGACATCGACCGGGAAAGATCGATCAAATCAAGTTAAATGTTTCCTTCTAACAAGCTTGTTGCTAAATGTTCATCCTGTCTCATCTCTTGTCACTGTTGTCACACCATATTACAAACCTTCTGGCATGCACACACACACACACACTAACACTAAACACAGGGTTGTTCAGCCCACTTTTCCAGCCTGATGGGCTACCAGTATCACCAGCAGCGTTGTGGAAGAGAGTTTTCTGACGATGAGAAGCCTGTGTTTCTGTGTCAGCACTGTGGGAAGAGCTACCGCTCCAAGGCAGGCAGAGACTACCACAAACGCACTGAGCATCCGCCAGCCATCACCGCCAGCACAACAGCGACAAACACCAATAGCTACAGGAACAACATCACTGACACCAACAACAATACTGGCAAGGAAAGAGTGAGTGCATTTTAGATGAGACTATCTATACTCAGGAGGAAATATTCTTTGTAAAACAGTCTCCCAAAATAAACTAAGTAAGTCCGTTGGCTGTTTTTTCCAGGGAATTTCCGACGATTCTCCAGCAGTAGCGAAGAAAAAAGAGCAGAACATGCCTGAGAGGAAAGACTGGCAGGAGAAATCACCATCCAGCCAGCTTAAAGAGAAAGAGCTAGAAATGGGAGAGGAGAGAAAAAAACTAAGCAAAGAGAAAGCAGCACAAACAAAGAGTCAGGGGGAAGACTTTGAGAGGACTCCCAGCGGCCGAGTGAGGCGGCAGTCTGCTCAGGTGGCGGTATTCCACCTGCAGGAGATAGCTGAGGATGAGCTGGCCAAAGACTGGGGCACCAAGCGACGCATCAAGGACGACCTGGTGCCTGACAGCAAGAGGGTAAGGTCACAGATGTCACACATTAACCATACTAGCTCGAGGATTTTCATGTAAGAACCACAAAATTCAGTGGATCTTTATTGGATTTCATGTAACAGAAATTTTTATTCATTTTTAAATAAAGATTTTTTTATTACTTTAGTTTTCAGAATAAGCAGTATATTGTTTGAGCCGACCATATAAAAAACAGTAATGTGACATAAAAGAAAGTTAATGTATAAGAAAGGATTCTTAAGACCCTAATTATACCTGCCTGTTACATGTCAAAATTAATGTTTTCCCAAGTAGTTTATGTTATTAGGACAGCTCTTCTGTCAGGATAGACAGTTATCATGTTCATTATGTACATAGCAGAAATTTGGGAATGAAATGGGGGCACAGGCAGAGTGGATCTTTTTTAACAGTGAGTTTTCTGTGTTTTTATCTGGGACACTGTGTAATAGTTTGATATGGCTGGAGCGAAGGATTATTGCTAATTTATAAACGTGTATGATGTAATTGTGGAATGATGTGGCATACTGGAGTTGTGTAAAATGCTTCTTTAGATGTGATTCTCGGCCACTTCAACGAGAAGTGAGCCCGATTGGTAAGCGTTGCCATCTGTAGCCCTAAGCAACTTCTCTGGTCTGAGTAAGAAAACAATTTATGTCAAAATCTGTTGTCCTGTCTCATGGTTGTGTAATACATTTACATCATGAAATGTTATTTAAAGAGTTTTTCCCAAGTGATCTCAGGAAAGAAACAGGGATAGAAAGCTTCAAGATGTAAAAACAGAGCTTTCCTTTACAGAACAAAGGGATTACCAAATTGTCAGTTATCTTAGCAGAGTTATCTTTATTGGAGTAATTTTAACTTTTAATCTTTTTTTTTTCATCTACAGTTGAACTACACCCGTCCTGGCCTGCCCAACTTCAGCCCAGAGCTGCTGGAGACCTGGAAGAACCAAGTGAAGGAAAAAGGCTTCATCTGCTGCACAAATGCTGTAAGAAAAGACACAGAAAAACATATAGCCTATTTAAAATAAAATGTTTCTAAAAAGAAAGAGGAAATGCCTTAAATTATGTTAGTTTAGATATTAAGTAATATATATATATATATATGTGTGTATTGGGTATGTCAAATAATTAATTCATCATCACAGAAGGTCCATAGTCTAAAATTATATTATTTTGCATATCAAGGCAGTTCTAAGCTCATAAAATTGAAAATTTAACCAGTCCAGTGAGTATTAAGCAAGCATTCTTGGATTTTAAGCAATTTTACTTTTTTTTTCTTACAGTTAGTGTAATATACCAATTTTGTTTTATTTCAAATATTTTTAAATGAGAGTTTCATAAAATTGACTGACTCCATTCAATATCTTGCTGACTTTGTTCCAGAACTGTGAAGCTGTCTATTCCAGTGTGTCTGGACTGAAGGCACACCTTGCCAACTGCAGCCAGGTACCGACACAGAACAAAAAAGCACAATCCAGCCTATTATTTTAACCTGAGGCTATCTGCCAGATCAGATATTTCCTTTCTCATATTAAATTGAAATTTCTCACCATAGAATGAATAAATAACTCAAATACTCCAACAGAAATGAAAAGACACAAAACCCAGACCATATCATAGGGCAACTTTTTAGTTTAGTTAGGATTTTCCTCTGCACACACCCAATAGAAAATAGGGGGTCCTAATTATTCCTGATTATCAAGCCTGATTATCAATTTGTATTATTGAAATGATTCCATGTTTTCTCATAACACAAGCTGTTAAGATATGCTGATGTTTGGTGACTATATCTCCCACATATAGGCGTGTAGGCATATGCATACATACAAACAAATGTAATTATCAGTCGATATAAGACATCCAATAACAGTCCTCCACAAACGAGATAACATCCCTGGAGATTACCTGTGTAAAAATGTCTGTTAGATATTTTAGTACTAAATATTATTAAAACTTCATATTTATACTAGTCTCATTGAGAGGGCTCAGATTTGGGGGAGTGCTGGCCAAGTGGTCAGTGCAAAGCTCTTGGAATCCTGAGGTTGAGAGCTTGAAACCCACTCCCACAGACTACCACTCTGGGTCCCTGAGCAAAGACCCTTGATGCCACACTGCTCCCGGGGTGCCGCAAAAGGGGATGGGTTAAATACAGAGAGTGAATTGCGTTGCGCTGTACTTGTCACGGTGTCATGACAACAAAACGCTGGTGATTTACTGGACAGACAGACGTGAAATACATAGAATACAGTTAATAAAGACCCTTTTGACACCCGTCAAATCTCTGCTTCAGATAATTAGTTTCTTTATATGTTTTTTTAATAGTTTCAGTTAATTTAATTTCTATGTTTAAAAATTATTTGTTTGTTTGCATATATATTTGCGTGTTTTTCAGGGTGGTGGTGAAATGGGAAAGTACACTTGCCTGATCTGTCAGAAGGAGTTTAGCTCAGAGAGTGGTGTCAAATATCACATTAGTAAGACACACTCACAGGTGGGTCACTCTGGTTCTTTCTCTCTCTCTCACACTCTTTTTCTCTGACGAAAATAAAAAAAAAGAGTAAAAATGCCATAATTTTACACGCTTTCCTTTTGATATGCACAGCTTTTATTCAGTTGAGTTTGAAAACTTAATCTGTATGAGCATCCTGGGAAGATTTTCTATGAAATGTTGCAAAACACTTGCGCCATTTAATCATCATGCAAAATATCATCATTCATATAATATATGGTTTGCATTTTACCAGCTGTGTGTGTGCATGTGTGCAATATATATGATGTGCTTACACCCATCATTAAAGTGGCTCCGGTGTGGGAAATGGAAACCCAAAGTTAGGTTTACCATAAGCTAATAAAAGCCGTCCTTGTTAAAGCCTGTTCAGTAGGAGGATCTAATAAATGTTTTTCTGTAAAAGCAGCACAGTGAAAACTTCCTAAACCACATGATGCTTTCTTTTCTTTGCATTGTTCACTTGTTAAATAGAACTACATTAAATTGTTAATTTTATGAAGGTATTTATGCATTCAGTCACACTCCTTGCCTTTAGCGTGTGATTCTTTGAGTATATGTACCAGTTATTACCAAGGGAAAAACTTAGTTTGTATTCTCAGCAAGATATTACTGAAACAATTGTTGAAAAGTCTTCAATATACTTACATATTTAAGTAATTTGGCTTAAAATAGTTTTTTGTTTCTCTACACATCAAGTGATACAGTTTAGTGATCCAGGTTCCTGTTAAATTCAATGCTTATACCTTACATTTGATTTTAAAAATCTATATGTATATCTATATACTGCACAAATAATATCATTGATTGCTTTATCTTGATCCTGCCTAGGTCCTGATTTAATTAATTTCTTTTTTCAGAACTGGTTTCGTGCATCAACCAGCCAAGTGGTCTCTGGTAACAAGAGTAAAGGGTTGGAGAGCAATGGATTCAAAGCTGAGGTGAGAAATGGAGCCACTACTGGTAAGAAGAGGGGCCGGAAACCAAAAGAGCGCCCCATGATGGATGAGCCTCTCCAAACAAAGACAGATGAGCTCACCACCATCCAAAACTCACCTCCAGCCATGACCCCCCCCTCTTGCTCAGCACAGTCCCCAGCCCTGATCCCTGATCAAACGGACAGCGACGATCCCGGCCAGGAAAGGCACAGCCTCCCCTCCAACACCAGAAGGAGCAAACCCAAGAAGATTTTTTTTTCAGAGTAGCACTGCTTTTCTCAGAGCTGGAGTCAGAGTGGATGCTTAGCATAAACACACAGCCTGGAAGCTAAAAGGAACCCTCCTATGTGGCATTGAAGCAGAAACAGTGAAGACATTAAAGACTTAAATCTTGGTTTTATACCTTAGAGTTAATGTATCCTTTGGTATGAACATTTCTCTCCACAGTAGATCATTTTCTCCATTCCATCTTGGTTTCCTTTATGGGGCACACATATCAGTTTCTCTTCTCACAGCCGAGGTCATAAACCAAGAGCAAATCCAAAATCCCAACATGGATAGGAGTTTTCAAACAGAAATAGTTTCCAAAATAGATGAAAGATCATTTTCTCTGCAAGATTCCAATTTTGAAAGGATTTAAAAAGGAAATTCTATTAGCATGGTGAGGTCATTTTATGATGGCTGGTGTTTCTTTCATGTTTCCTCATGAATATACTGTACATGTACATAAACAGTATCTATATCTATATATCTATATACTCAAAGCAATGATGCCATCCTTCGTTTTCATGCCTGATGCGTCCAGTTGGCTTTATGTCAGTCACACATTTTGCTGTGTGTTGTAGTGCAACATCATTTCAATTTTTTTCTTCTTTCTTCTAGTTTTGCCTTCATTGCTTTTTTAGGTTTCTAATTCTTGAGGGAAAATTTTAAAAAAGCTAAATCTTTTGTTTTTCCCCAACAATGTAGCTTTTATCGAACTTTATGCCGAAGCATTAAACCCAAAAAGTTGTGTTTATTTAACTTTTATTTCTTCAGATATAAGTCGGTAAAAAAAAAGCACATGATATGATATAATTTAATTGATTTCAACCAAGAAGCAAAAGAATATCTAGCAAAGCTAGGTGTTTAACAGAAGGAAGGATTTTAAGGTTGTTGCACCTTTGCAGCACAATCAAATGATTTATCTCTGTTAAAAGGAGGCCATACTCTGAAGTCTGCTTTACCAAGGATCTAAGCTGCAGAGAAAAAAAATCTTTTATATGTCAAAAAAAGAAAAAAAAAGGCTTAGGTTGATAACATTTTATTACACAAGCTAAAACTTGCAAATCAACATTCTCAGAAAGTAATGTATTTGAAAGAATTCCTAGAAGCTAAAAGTTATTGCCTTGCACTTTAACCCTCTACCCTTGTTGCTCCCCTCTTGTCGTTTTTGCACTCTAGGACTCTTCAATCTAGCCTGCAGGTCGTCTGTCTAACAGGAGAGGGAAAATGTTGCTCTGATGGAAAAGTTCAAAAGGCAACAGGATGGTTAACTCTTTCTGAACTATGAAACCAGACTGTATGATTATCGCTTACAGAGCCTTGCAAAAGTGTTCCTACCCCTCAAACATTTCAGCATTTCATTGCAACCACAAACTCATCTGTTTTGTTGTAACCCTCCCGCATTAAGGAGCAATTAACTATTGAATTTTTTGCAAAAAAATAAAAAAAATCCCCATAGTCTTGCATGAATGTGTATTACTCTGCAGAACCATATTTATTACTTTCGGCTACAAGCTAGTTTTTTCTAGAGACTAAATGTATGCCCTCTCTTCTTCACAAAGTAGTCTGTGATATTCAATTGAAAAAAACGTATCTTAGTTTTAATATTGAATGGACTTTGGTCCATATTAACATGTTTTCAGCAGCATTTTACTTTTAGCTGGAGAGTGAACATCCACCCCTCCTTTAAGTTTTAAAATCTTTCGCAAGTGATCAACAGTGAGCCGTTTGTCAGATTGAGGTTGATATGTTTAGGGTGTGATGTTTGTTTTGCAGAACCAGGGTGTCAGTTTTTAACTAACTAAGCTCAGGTTGCTGTTTTATGATTTTTCCCTGTTTTAAACCCTTTACGATTTTATCTGAAGAACTCCCTGGTCTTCCTTATTTGGTTTGTTTACTAATGTTTTTTTTTTTCAAACAACTCTGAGGCCTTCAGAGAACAGCTAGGTTTGTACAGGAATTAAACTCCATTTATGAATTAACTGATAACTGAAGGTTGTTGGTTTGCTAACATTTTATTTAGTATTTAGATTTAAAAAGGCAAAATACATAAACACCTAATGGTTTTTGATTCTTTTCTTGGAAATAAGAAAAAATAGGCATAATTTTCCATAACTATGCACTACTATGTTTTGGCAATCATGTAAAATCTAATTAAAATCCATTGACGTTTGTGGTTTTAACATGATAAAATGTGAAAAGGCTTAAGAGGTATGAATTCTTCTGCAAAGCACTGTATCCCAGAAAGCCATAACTGGTCAAAATGAAGTTCAGAGTTTCTAAACATTTTAACTTTGGATTTATTAGATAATAATAATATAAAAAAAAAAATAGATTACTTGATTACTTAAGATGAGAGGATATTTTCGCTTTACCATGTTCAAAGTAGATACTTGAATCCACAGTTATATTAATCTTTTCAGCAAATCTAAATGACATATTTGGTTTATTTGTGCTGTTTATGTGTATAAAATAATGACTCATTTAAAAAAAGAAAAAAAGAATGCACATCTATTTTATACTCTTGCGTGCATTATCTAGATAGCTAACTGCTAGTTTTGGATATATTGTGATGTGAGGGATAGGAAGGGTGCTTCACTTGCCACTTTACCTTAAAGACCTGATACAACTCACCTAAAGTCTAATGATCCATCCGCTCATCACCTTCTTACTGGGAAGTTGTCTGAATTTCTGGAGCAAAATGTTAAATTCATTAAAGCCAAGCACTGATGTCAGCCGAACATGATCCAGGAATACAGACTTTAATATGTTATGTGTGTTTAGGTGTTGTTCCTGTCTAATAAACAGCAACATTTTAACTTGAATTCCTTCTTTACTTATCAGATGGTTGAATCTATTCAGACAGGGATGATTTCTTTTTTTTTTTTTGTGTGACGGACCTTTATCTGCTATTTAGGATCAGTTGACAAAAAGCAGAAGTTAGACAAGCACTGATCGGTCCGTGGACGTTTTGAACGCCAGTTGTCCAGACCTTTGTGTGTGTGTGTGTGTGTGTGTGTGTGTGTGTTTGTATTAAACAGTTAGCACCTTTGTAACGAGTGGATGTCTGAGAACGGCCACGCTCTCTGTTGACTGTGATGCCGTGGCACAGATTCAGTTCGTCAGCTGCTTGTTTGTTGTTTCATTAAAACATTGCGTCGACTGTGTTTACCCAACAAGCTTTTGGTGTTGCAATACGATAGTTTAGCACTGCTTATAAGAGTGGATATTTTATATTTTATAGCACCCTTTACTATCTGTCTTCCTATTACCTGGAAAACACATCTCTCCTGCAGTGCGGATTTACTGCAGCTTGTTTCAAACCTACAGCAATATACCACATTTAGCTGATTTTGTTGGCTTGCCAATATTTTGATATTGATGTCTTCTTAGAAGTGTGTGGCTTTTTCCCAACCCCATGTTTCTTTTTTTTGATTACTTTAAAAAGCTTTTTAATTGATATGAATTTTACACAACAGTGTTGAAAAATTATTTTAGACCCAGAGAACCTTGTTGGCATACACTGTTATTTTAACCATTCTGATGATGTACATGATTTAAGCTTTTTCAATACACAAAGGCAACCCTGTTGAGATTCCTTTATTATTATTACATATTGATATGGGGGGCAACAAGGCATATGTATGTGTGTTTGTTTCTGTATTTAGTGCACTTACTATAACATAAAATAGGCTTGAAAATAGGAGTGTTGTTGGAGCTATCTAGTGACCTGGACTGTGTGGTGTGACTTTTGTACCCAGGGAAACAGGAGGCTCAAGTGTCTTCCCTTTGTCAGCAATGTTATTTCCAAAACCAAGGTTAATCTTTAGAAATCCTCTTAGACAGCCTATGAATTTTACCCTGGCTCGTGTTGTAAGCTACCTACTTGAAAAACAAGGACCTGGCATCCGGCTCTGCTGCCGGTCATCATGATGAAACATTGGAGAGCTGCACAAACGGCTCATTACTGTTTATGACACATAGGTAACTGATAAAAATGAGACTAATGATGTAATTAAGATTTCCTTATCTTAAGTTAAGCTGTATAGTACCTAACACTGGAGGATTCTACACCTCCTTTGTGTCTGAACTGTTACACTTTTTTCTCCCAAACTTGTTGTATTACCTGTGCATTAGTATCCCTTACCTAATTAATAAAGTTTGATGACTAAATCAGTGTTGTATACGTGACATCCTTACCACTTGTTTTTAATATTATTCAAATTATATAAAATCATACTCAACAACTTTAGATTTCATTGAAATTATGTGTATTTTATATATTTATGGAGAATTTTACTGTATCTTCTTTACCACCTCCCTTAATGCTTATCCCCTTAACATCCACCGTATTTTGGGTAATCCTGGCCTATTTTGCATACACAAATGGAAAAGCAAATAACTTAGGAACTGTAGGCCCAAATTACATGTGCAATACATTATTTGAAAGCTAACACCTTCTAGTTTTCTAATATTTAAAATTGGATGACTAGAACACAGACCAACCTGCATCAGTTCAAACATGACTCAAAGTTGTTGTTTTTTATTCTCGGAAATGATAGGTCATATTTGAACAGCAGTAATAAAGATATTCTTGAGAAAAGACAGGTCTTATTGTATTATATGTTTTCTACATCATGTCAACCACACATGCAGAAAATTTCAGACCTCTAGCTATAACAGTTCCAGGGCTGTGGGGTTTCGAACTTTTGATGTTGGAGCTGAGCGCAATGGCTACACCTGCTGGTAAAAATTTTACCGGTGGAATTTTATGCATTCTGAATTATTACCCCCACTTATGGTCCACCAGGTCGCAGGCAACCCGTTGGTTTTTAAGAGGCTATACCACAGAGAAGTCTGTCTTCCAATGGTGCAAGAACAAATGATCTCCCGCTCCATTCTCCATTAACTTAAACAGGGCCATAAGATTGTTAAACTCCTCCCCTCGAAGCAACAAAACTGTGTCATTGCTCAGAAATTTAAAGTACTGCAGGTACTTAGCTGATAAATGTTATGGTGGGATCAAACTATAAAGGTTACAGGAGATGATATGTCTAAATGTCTAAAAGAAATGTTTTTGTCATGTCAAAAAACTAATCTATTGGACTAGGGCTGTTACTCTTTTTTTTACACTCAGAATAAGGATGGCCCGAAACAGAAATAATAAACACAGACATGTATGTATGTAGAGGTGTTTTGTTTTTTTTCCCCCTTTTACAGTTTCACATTTCAGGTTTTCAGTTTTTAAGTATTTAATGAAGATAAATTGTGCCTCCATCAGTAGTAGATTAGAGCTAGTGGGCCTGTTCAATTCAGTTTGGGTCAGGTAGATATTTAATGAATATCTACAATTTATTTAATGAATAAATAGAATTTATTTATGACGCATTATTAAAAGAATTAATAAAGGCTATAAAATATTTGCTTGCATGCTTGCATTTTTTTAAATAAATAATTGCCCCAATTTTTTTTTTTGGTGCCCTATTGTGCCCCTGACGCCCATGCTAAATATTATATATTTGCAGCTGCAGTACAATTCATAACTTAATTAAAAAGTATGTACATTTATATCTTAAACTGTAATAATAATAATATCAATACTATAAATTACCTTGGAGTCCACATTGGTCTGTTCGACATCAAAAAGCTCTGAGAAAGGCCTTGTATGATTTCAACGCTTTAACACGTTTTTTACGGTAAAAAGAAAAAAAAATAACCGTTGCATTATGGGAGTTAAAGTCTTTTCGGAAAGCGAACCCCTTACAGCGAACGAACGAGGAAGAACGGAAAGCCTACATATCCCATGATTCCTCAGCACTTACCGAACACCTGATTGTCAACAGAGAAATGTCTGCCGTTCGCGTGGAGGAGAGGCTCGCTGAGATGGATAAAGAGGAGAAAATTTGCTCCGTCTCTAACAGGTACACCGCTCTCACGGTGGGGGTTTTGTTCAGTGCCCTAAAATTATTTTTATTCCCAATTTTATGAAATGTTTCATTGTAGGAAAAAAAAAAATAGTGGTAGCTAAACATTTAAGCTACCACCCACACTGTGCCTTCCCTTAGTAACAAACTAAAAGCCACATACTTTGTATTTGCGAGTTAATTATAAATGTCCTAAACCATCGCAATATCCCCTCGTGCATACGGATAGCCAACAGAAATGACTGAATCTTCATAGCAGGCGATAAGCTAACTAACCAATACATGCTCTGAAACTTTAACGTTCATTAAAGGCACAAATGGTCTAACTACGGTGACAGCAAGTCCTTACATGGTGACAGTTTGTCCTTTCTTCGTTTTCTACCGCGATACATTAATGTTTTAATGTTGGACAAATATATCACATTTTAATTCTTAGGAAAATTAATAAAATGTCAGTTTTAATGACTAAATGTCCATTTGAATATACACGTGTCATGCTTTCATATATAGAAATGATCTCTGCATCATCATACGAGCCTTATGGTAGTTACCGCTATGTACCACAGGAGGGCGCTGCTTCATCACTCTACCTCAGGAATGTTTGTCCCCTTTTCAGTTAGACTCATAAAATAACAGCATATGAGAACTACTTGTTTTAATTTGCATAGTTGGACAAAAGCAAATATTGAGACTTTGCTAAAAAAAAAAAAAAATATATATATATATATATATATATATATATATATATATATATATATATATATATATATATATTAGCTCTTGTATTTGGTAGATTAAAAACTTAAGTGGTCAATTGCATTGATACTTAGACAAAACATTTTTTGTCACATTGTGTTGATTCCACAATATGTTTCAAGTGTCAAATAATTGGTTTATGCAGTTTTTCTATGTATTGATAGCTCTCAACTGAGACAAGACTCAATCTACCTGAACTGGAGCTGTTTTACAGAATATTTTGACTTTTTACTATTTTTCAAGGCTGCACTTTTAAAAACATGAAATTGTCCAGAGAGCTGTTCCAAATTGATTACTTTTTGTTTTACACTTGTGTAAACAAAATGACAAAATCTGTCTAAGTCTAAGACAGGAAATTACTGTAATGAATGGTGCAAACACAGAGTAAAAGATTTAAAAAGTGGAATAAGTAAAGAAAGAAATAAGTTATATAAGTATATTGTTTATTTATGTAGACAAATAGGTATTGGGGTGATGTAGTGGAGATGTCTGCGTCTAAGGACGGACTGCTGCTAGTAGGGACCTGTTTTGGATGTGTGTGGTCCTGGTCCAGAGGAGGAAGGACTGAAACAGAGTCCAGGGTGAGGGAGGTCAGGTGCAATCCTATATGCATGTCTCTACCTTCTGGAGATAGAAAGATTAGAGTTTGTATCCAATCACCTTCTCTGCTGAATGGGTGATCCGCTGCAACTTGTCTCTATTTGAGGCTGCGGGAAACTAGACTATGATAATTAAGATGAGAACGGACTGTTGTAAAATGATGTTGTAAAAGTTCACCATCATCTTCCCAGGAAGGTGAAACTGTTTTTAGCTGCAATAGAAAGTAAATTGGAAAGTAAAATGGCCAGATGTGCAGCTGTTGGTCAACAGGGAGAAAAGGAGAGGAGAAAAAGCGAATCCTTAGGGGAGGATCCAGTATTGATGTTCACAGACATGCTGCTCCAGCTTTATGAGCTGCTGCCTCACTGTTATGAAGTCAGTAATCCACCTGCACTGGGGGCCAGACTCATTCAGGTTGGAGAGCTTGTCTCTAAGCAGAGCTGGGGGTTGATGTGCAAAGCTGAAGGATGCTGAGGAGGGGGACCATCATGGCGGCATCATCCACAGAACTGTTGGCTCTGTAAACTGTGGTTTTGGAGTGTTAAAGTCGTCGGGAACCAGCCGTTCCAACCGTTGCATTTACAAATTCTCCAGAGTGGTGCCCGACTTTACACGAGTGAATAAAGTACGCGATTGTTGTGGCGGAACATTCGCAAGCAAGTTTGGTTGTGGCCGGTGTCTCGGAAGCATCTTGCTAACCAGTTAGCAACTTAATGCTAGTAGGTTCCCAATGGGAAATTGCATTGGTACCAAGTAGCACTTAGCAACAACACTATCAAGGAATGCTATGGACAGCAGAAAACATGCAAGAGGAGGAGAGTTTTGTGTTGGAGGTCGTGGATGAGTCACCTCAATCATACATTTATTTAGAGGAGGAAAGTGGGGACAGAGTTGTTATGGAAGAGGGCGACAGAAGCTTGGTTTGGTGAAGAAGGCTTACAGCTGTAGATGTTTGACCCCTTGCTCACACTGGCTCCGGTGCGGTTACCGAGCCGACTGAGACCGCAACTCCCGCACACCCCCTCTCACACCGCCCTTTTGACTACGGTGCGGTGCGGCTCTGGCAACAGGTCCGGAGATTTAACTCGCGACAACAGAAGTTCACTTGAGTTCACGTAACTTCACGCGATAACACGGCCCAAATAAGGATATTTGCAAGAGCTTGTTGCGGAGGGCTCCGGCACGCCGCAAGGATAGCTTTCTTGCTGAATTTTCTGCAGCGCCGGAGTGTCTCGGTAACCGCAGCCGGACAGCTCAGCAGCCGGTGAGAGAGGTTTACGTTTTTTTAATGACTTGGAGTCACTGCGGTGCCGCACCCACCGCACCGCAACGGTAAGACCGGAGTCGGTGATCCGGGGGTGAGCCCTTGCCTCGCAATGCTGCCAGTTCTGTTAGCTCTACGCCTGCCGAAGACAAAGACGTCCATCCCCTTAAAGGAATAGTACACCCAAAACATGATTAGCCTTCATTTTCTACTCACCCCCATGCTGAACAACACTCTGGAGTACTTTTTTGATATCTCAAATGCATCTGGAGATCTGGGAGGCTTCTTGCTGTCTGCTGACATTCAAATAATGGAGGTCTATGGTGACCGAGACAGAAAGGTCCATAAAAGTCCACAAAAAACGTGTCAATATTCCTCCATACTGCTCGTCCAATGTATTCCAAGTGTCCTGAGTGGGTAGCATCCAGAATTTACTTGAAACGAAGTCATTTAGAATGTTTTTAGAGCATAAACAGTAGTGTATAGGATTTCCTGAAAGCGCGCACACAACGCTACGGAAACCGGCAGACCAAACCAGCGCATTCAGCTCGGCAAAGAACTCATGCTCTTCCTCAACACTGAAGTCCTCGGATATTTTTCTTTCGTTGTTTCTTTCTTTGCACAGGTAA